TGCTGCTGCTGCTGGTTCTGCTGCTGCTGCTGCTGCTGCTTCTGCTGCTGGCCGTGCTTCATGAGCTGGTCGAACACGCCGCCGTCGCCCACCCACGACAGTGGAGGCATCGCGCCCACGACAGTGGAGGCCCACCCACGACAGTGGAGGCAATCGAACACAAACGGCCACAGAGGGAGGGAGGGGGGGGGGGAATAATCGACACGTCTGTATATAACCAACATGCGCAGTGTATATTCGACACGCATAGATGTTTCCACGCATATTCAACACTTGATATCGTATGTAATGATATACATAGTGGTGTGTCAGCATGTAGTTTTTTATGTTGCATAATCGCGCGTGTAGTGATTCAGCCCGGGAGACCCTCAGGGAAGTGGCCTACAGTTGGCTCCGGGCATCCAAAATGTGGCCCGGGAATGGAGTTCTGGGAAATCGAAGAGCACGAAGTGGCCTACAGTTGGCTCCGGGCATCCAAAATGTGGCCCGGGAATGGAGTTCTGGGAAGTCGAAGAGCACGAAGTGGCTTACAGTTGGCTCCGGGCATCCAAAATGTGGCCCGGGAATGGAGTTCTGGGAGCACCAAGAGCGATTTTGCGAGGATGTCCCAAGCGATTTCGGCTTCGGCGGCAGTCCCCGGGTCCCGCCCAGACCCCCTGAGGTGTCATGATGCTCTCTTTTGAGACCACTAGAAACCTATCAGCAAGAGCTGTTAGGTAAAAACCAATCGGACATGAATGATTTATACGCCTCTTGGGGCTCACTTGGGGGTGCTTTGGGAGCGCTCTCGGGGCGGGTTGGAAGTAAGAGAAGGGTGAGAAGAAAGGAGGAGGAGGAGGAGGAGGAGGAGGAGAAGGAGAGGAGGATGAGTAGGAGGAGGAGGAGGAGGAGGAGGAGGAGGAGGAGGAGGAGGAGAGGAGGAGGAGGAGGAGGAGGAGGAGGAGGAGGAGGTGGAGGAGGATGAGGAGGCGGAGACGTAGAAGGAGAAGGAGGAGGAGGAGGAGGAGGAGGAGGAGGAGAGGCGGAGGAGGAGGAGGAGGAGGAGGAGGAGACTAGAAGGAAAAGGAGGATGTGTTCCTATAGATGTTCCCTCTCCTGGTCCCCCCTCGTCCCTCTTCGCCCCTCCTCCCCTTGATCCTCCTGCCCCTACTTCAGGATGCGGCTAGCGGATCATATACGCCCCCCACCTTCCCCGACAAAAACCATACAAGGTGGTACTCCCGCATATTCCCAGGTGCGTGCCGCCAGGTGCACCTCGTCAATGTGAAGGGGCCGAACGGTCTTACGCTGCTCCTGGGCGCGCGGCTGAAGAGGACTTCCGCGGTGCGGATCGTCGTTGAAATATTACCTCTGGGGAATAGTTATTGAGCCTGCAGATCGGAAAGTCACGGCGGCCCCCCGCAGGGAATCTCGCACGCAGATGTTGCAAACAGTTGGCTGTCGTTTTCTCTTGGAAAGGGCTCGAGCCCAGGGTTCTCTTTTAGTTGGTTTACCCCCCGGTTTTTACTTGAAGGGGGCCGGCGAATTTCTTGCGCGATAAATTACGAAGTCGAAGGGGGCCGGCGAATTAAACTTGTGAGGATGAAGGCCATTTTTCGCCACCCCTCACGCAGATCGTGCTCTTGGAATTTGACTGCCTTTAAGGAAACCTCGATATTTCACAGGTGAAGTCCACTTTTTTCCGACATCGACTTTAAACGATAAAAAACAAGGTAAACGCGTTCGCTTGATAAATAACGAGGTACCGCGGCCTCCAGAACGGCGCTGGGAACGGAGTTTTGGATTCTTGAAGTTGCATAAGTTCGGACATAGCAGAAATCCCATGTGTTTTTGGACCCTGACCCCGCGGATCTGCGTGAGGGGTGGCACCGAATTTCAGAAATGTGGCAAATCCCATGTGTTTTTGGACCCTGACCCCGCCGATCTGCGTGAGGGGTGGTGCGGAATTCCAGAAATGTGGCAAATCCCTTGTGTGTTTGGACCCTGACCCCGTCGATCTGCGTGTGGGGTGGCACGGAATTTCAGAAATGTGGCAAATTCAATGTGTTTTCGGATCCTGACCCCGCCGACCTGCGTGAGGGGTGGCACCGAATTTCAGAAATGTGGCAAGTCCCATGTGTTTTCGGACCTTGACTTCGCCCAGGAGAGCCCAGGAGGCTCCAGGAGAGCCCAGGAGAGCCCAGGAGGGCCCAGGAGAGCCCAGGAGGCTCCAAGAGGCACCAGGGGGCCCAAGGAGGGCCCAGGAGAAGCTCCAGGAGGCTCCAGGAGAGCCCAGGAGGGCCCAAGAGGTCCAAGGAAGACCCAGGAGGGCCCAGGAGCCCTTACGAGGGATCGTGGCCCTGGGAGCGCTGACGTAGCGTAATTTACGAGGGATCGTGGCCCTGGGAGCGCGGGTGTAGTGTAACGTTTGAGGATGTCTCGAGCGAAACGCTTGTTTTTCAGAATTTGTTGAGGATGTCTCGAGCGAAACGCTGGTTTTGCAGAGCCGAGCGCGACACGGAAAAGCGCTCCTCGCGCAGGAAGTCCGAGGATGTCTCGCGCGTGCCGCGTCCCGCGCGCAGGAATTTTGATTTCTTGGGGTTTTGACAGGATTTCTCTAGCGAAACGCTTGTTTTTCATAATTTGTTGAGGATGTCTCGAACGAAACGCTGGTTTTGCAAAATTGGGGGATGTCTCGAGCGGGGGCCTCGTGGGGGGCCAGAATTCAGAGGATGTCTCAAGCGAAATGCTTGTTTTCGTGTCCCGCTCGCAGGAATTTCGAGGATGTCTCGCGCGTGCCGCGTCCCGCGCGTAGGAATTCGGATGATTTTGATAGGATGTCTCGAGCGAAACGCTTGTCCCCAGCACGTTCAGTAGCGCGTCCCCTTGGCACGTCCCGCGGTGCGACCCCATGGCACGTCCCCTGGCACGTCGCCTGGCGCATCCCTTGGGACGTTTCGCGGCGCGTCCTCCTGGCATGTTCCCCTGTCAATTAGCTCTGGGGCAGCTACTATGTGTTCAGGCAGCTCGAGCTTAAGATCCAGATCAGTTCGGTCAGGACTCGGATGCAACGGAGGACTCGATCCACGACGCTATAGAGCACAACCGCGGCATGGCACATCGCAATTCAGCACGGTGCAGCACAGCACAGCCCTCGGCAGGGTACATCAAGATCGATACACTCAGCATTGCAACTTGGTGGTATTCCAGTAAGGTTCCTTTTCTGGTTCTCTGTAGGCCGCAGTCGGCCTTTTTTGCTTGGTGCACCATGGTTGGTGCCCTATGGCTCCCTGTCTGTGGTTCCTTGTTGGCCGCGGTCTTCCGGCTCGGTGCCTAATGGTTGGTGCCGTCTGGTATCTCTTCGACGGTTTCCTGTTGGCCGCAGTCGGCCGTTTTCGATCGGTGTTTTATTGTTGATTGTCCATGACGTCTTGTCTACGTTTCCTCGTAGGCCCCCTCAGGTGTCGAGAACGTGCCTCGCCTAACACGCTTCGCGACATTGGCACGGGTGGCGCCCCCAACCCCTGCAGACGCACTTTGGTGTTGAGAAAGTGTTTCGCCTCCCACGCCCTGCGATTAAGGGTATGTTTGACATAACATCGCAAGCTTCATTGTGGCATGATGTGTTGTATGCGGTAGCTTCTACGTTGTGTGTTGTACGTGGTGTAGTGTACGTGGTGTGTTTTACGCGTGGTGCTTCCTACATTGTGTTTTACGCGTGGTGTTTTACAGATGGTGTGTTCTACGTTGTGTGTTCTACGCGTACGTCGCGTATTATACATAATTGTGTGTTCTAAGTAGTTGTGTGCAACGTACACCCACAGGAAGCCTGAAGAATCAGCAGTATTCTTTCTTGGACTCCAGATTTTGTTTCAGAGGATCAAGTAGCTGGATTGGGCCCTGGGCGTTTCCTCGCAGCTCCCTGCTCCCAGAAAGGGCTCGGGCCCAGGGTCTCCTTTTAGTGAGCAATCTGTCCCCGGTGATGAGCTCCCGTAGGGCCGGCGGATTATTGTGTGATCAATAACGACGTCGCGTAGGGCTGGCGGATATATTGTTGAGGGTGTCCCGAGCCAGACGCTGGTTTCTCCCGGAAAGGGCGCGGGCCCAGGGTTTTCTTTTAGTCGGTAAACTTGTCCCTGGTGCCTCAACTGAGGGGCGCCGGCGGATGACGGGAAGCGTCTTCGAGGTACGAGAAGCAAGCGGGACGTTCTGGCTGAATCCTTGAGTAAATATATATATATATATATATATATATCTTTAACTATATGGGTTGCCGCGCCGCACGGGATCTTTCGTTGGCGGATGACGGGAAGCGTCTTCGAGGTACGAGAAGCAAGCGGGACGTTCTGGCTGAATCCTTGAGTAAATATATATATATATATATATCTTTAACTATATGGGTTGCGGGGCTGCACGGGATCATTCGTTGGCGGATTCCCCCAAATGGCCATTTCGCTCGAGACATCCTCCTAAAATCGAGGTGTGGTCTGCCGTGCTCCTGTGTGGTCTGCCGTGCTCCTGTGGTCTGCCGTGCTCCCCACAGGAGCACGGAGCACGGCAGACCAAGACGAGGAGCACGGCAGACCAGGCTTAGGAACCGAGAGGAGCACGGCAGACCAAGACGAGGAGCACGGCAGACCAGGCACCAAGAGCGCCCTCAAGACGACGGAAAGGATGACCAAGACGAGGAGCACGGCAGACCAAGACGAGGAGCACGGCAGACTATGCCCTAAGAGTGCCCTCAAGACGGCCGAACAACGGCAGACCCCATAGGAACACGGCAGACCACAGAAGAGCACGGCAGACCAACAGGAACACGGCAGACCACACAAGAGCACGGGTCCGTAGCCATTTTGGCTCAAGGCCATGGCGCACCCGACGACCGCGAGTCCGTCGGGCGTTCTTGAGCGCGAGGGGCGCCCCGCCACGAGCCAGAAGCTTCGCCTGGTTTGTTCTCCTTCGTGCCTGCAGGGCCGAGTGTTTCGGCCGAGCAGCTGTCAGTCTTCCCTCGGTGAGCCGCCATGTCGGAGGTTGCCTCGGGGCTGGCCAGGCGGGCGTACTGGTTGTGTGCTAAGCGTGGCTGCAACGCTTGGAACTGGTGTGACAAGCGGTGGACGTGCAAGGCGTGCGGCACCAGTGCTCCCCCATGGACGAAGGAGTACCGCTCAGACAAGCCCCCCCCGCGGGTGGACGCAGACGGGTTCGTGCAGCAGCCCAGGGGAAGGGCTGAGCAGCGTGCGGCGAGGCGCTCGGCCTCCCAGCGGGCCCTCTCGGGGAGCACCGCGCCCAGCAGCGCCCCCAACAGCAGGGCACGGCGTGCGCGGCCCTGGGGAGAGGCCAAGACCCAGATCGAGGAGCTGCAGGCGCAGCTCGTGGCGGCCAGGGAGCGCGTCGACACGCTCCAGGGGGCCTCGGCGCTCGGGCTCTCAGTGGACTTCCAGCGTGAGGCGGAGAACGCCCTCCAGCAGGGCAAGGACCAGGTTGCCGCCCTGGAGCGGTCCGTCCAGGAGGCCCAGCGGACGGAGCGCCCGCCTCACTCGGTGCTCCACATTGAGGCCAACGCCATCCAGAAGGTCGAGCGCCAGCTGGCCACGGCACGTACCAAGAAGGAGAAGCTCCAGCTGCAGGCGTCCGAGCTGCGCGAGCTCATCGCGGAGAAGCAGGAGCAGCTATCGGCAGCCGAGTTGGGGGTTGATGAGGTCACTGGGCAGATTGCAGAGCTGGAAGAGACCAGGGCCAAGGTCACGCAGCAGGCGATCCAGCGGGCCAACGCAGCTGTCGGAGGCGTGCCGAGCCCGCTTGGGGACGCCGTCCAGGGGTTGCTCACTCAAGTCGGCGCCCTTTCGGATCTCCTCAAGCAGCACGGAGCCGATCTGCCACCCAGGTTCTCGGAGATCGTCGAGATTCTCAACACGCAGAAGGAGGCGGTCGCCGACGTGCTCAGGCCCCGTAGCAGCTCGGCCAGGAAGCGTTGGGGCGACAGCGTCGGTGACGACGGCCTCGCGACTGAGGATGACGACATGCCGCTCGACATCGTGGCCTCAGGCGGGCCTGCGGCCGCCCCTCCCGCTGCCGCCTCGCTGGCAGGGCCGACCGCGGCTGGGCCGCCAGCCACGCGGGCCAGGCCAGCGGACGGACCCTACGGCCCTGCAGCGGCCCGCGGCCAACACGGGGCGACCCTGGGCGCGCGGCCTCAGGTGGAGCCCTGCCTCGCAAAGGCCCTCGCCGAGCAAGGGGCGGCCCTCTCGGACGGCGACCCCTTGGTGGCTGCGGCTGCTGTCGTTGCTCCTGCTGCTGGGCACGGGCCGCGCCGTGGGTGATGCGGGAGCGCGGGAGTGGTCAGCTTCCACAGTCGGCCCCGACGTCGGGGACAGCGGGACGCCTTCCCCTCGGGATGTGCGCGGGCCCAGCTGCTGGGACAGGTGGAGGAGGCGCTGTGACGGCCGCTGGCGCGTCCGCGCCCCTCGCAGGCGGCGGGCGGCGCCGAGCACCCTCGCCCGAGGTAGCCAGCTGGCGCGGTCGGGATCGCCGAGGTGGCCCCCCGACGGCCAGTCAGGGGCCGAGAGCGGTGGGATTCAGCCCCACGTCGTCGCAGCTCTCGGCCCCGTTGGTGATGGGCAGGCGCACCCCCCGCTGGCAATCGGAGGGGCGGAGGGGCGGCCACCTCCTCAGCCCTCCGATGGCGCGCTGCGGAGGGAGCGACGGCCACCTCCCGTTCTGGCGAGCGGCCCGCCGACGCCGATGAGGAGCGCTGGAGCGAGGGGCCAGGGCCCCCCTCCAGTCCTGGTGGGGGCGGAGGGTCCCGCGACCAGGGGCACAGCGGGCCCCGTGTCTGACGCTGGTGGGCGGGCCGCTCGCGAGGCAGCCGTCATCGGCAAGGCGCCGCTGGTCGGCAGAGCAGGAGGCCAGCAGCTTCGAGCAGGCCTAGTCATGTTCGGCTGCAATGGCAACGCTTGGAGCAGGAGCATTGAAGCCCTCGAGGCCTTCTTCAAGGCGTACGACTACTGGCCCGACGTAGTGGCGCTGCAGGAGACGAGGCTCCCGCATGAGCGCCTGCCCAGTGCTGCGGCTCAGGCCCGCGGCCTGGGTTACGCGGCCTTCCTCCACGAGGCGGCGCCGACGGAGAAGCAAGGGCCCCAGGCGACCTCAGGCGGCGTGGCGATCCTGGTGCGTGACGGCTTGCAGGCCGACGAGTCTGCGTACCCTTTGCCCTCGGCCTTGCGACACCGCCTCATCGGGGTGGAGGTCGCCGCCGCCTCGGGCCTTCGGGTCCTGGTGCTTGCTGGGTACTTTCAGCACTCTGTGGGCCCTCGAGGCACCAACCTGGACTTGTTTTCGGCCATCTCGGAGGTGACGGGCTCTTCTGCCGACATCCCGTGGGTCCTCCAAGCCGACTTCAACATGGAGCCCGAGCCGCTGGAGGAGTTGGGGTGGCCCGCTGCGGTGCGGGGGCATGTCCTAGGGCCCTCGGAGGCGACGTGCCATGCCGAGGGATGTGACCACCTCTACGACTGGTTCGTGGCCTCCGCGGCGTTGGCAGCCTGCACGGCCTCCTGCGCCACCACGCTCGAGGGCTTCGGTCTGCACCCTCATCGCCCTGTCCTGCTTCGTCTCCAGGACGTTCGGGCAGATGCGTTGGTGGAGGTTCCGTCCAGGCCCGCACGCTTCCCCGAAGTTGCTCCTGAGCTCCTACGGGCGCACGAGGACGCGGAGATTGTGTGCTACTCGGTTGGCAAGAAAGGACAGGTCACGCCTAGGAACGTCGCGTGGTCCTGGGACACAGGCACTTCACCGACCAACCTCTCCGTCGCCTTCAGCGAGTGGGCGGCGGCTGCTGAAGGCACCCTGGTCGGCATCCACGGCATCGTCCAGGCAGACTTGGCCCGTCATCTCGGCAGAGGAGATGGGCCGCGGCTGTCCCTCAAGCCCCTCAGTGCCTTGGTCAGGCGGGATGCCAGGTTCAGGTTCAGCCTCCTCACGCACCGCTTGAGGAGCTGCCTGGACGTGGCCCTCCAGCGGCTGCGCGCTGAGAGGACTGGCCGCTGGCACCCTCGGCATGCTGACTGGTACGGGCACCAGGCCGGGCTCAGGGCGCAGCTCTTGCTAGAGGCGGTGCAGGAGGCTGCCGACACGGTCGGCGGGGCTCTTCCTGGCGCAGCTCCTGATCGACTAGGCGACCTGGTGTTTCAGGCGGGCGTCCACGGCAGCCCTGATGCCGTTCGGGACCTCCAAGGGCTGCTCGGTGCATCGCAGCGCCGCGACGCGGCTCAGAGCGCCCAGGCCTGGCGCAACTGGGCACAGACAGCGGTCGAGAAGGGCGGTCGTCTGGCCCACCGCTTCTCGAAGGCGACGCCCCCGCCGACGGTCAGGGGCGCTGACTCTGGCAGGAGGCTCGTTGGGATGGCAGCGATCGGCGAGCTCACGAGTGTCTGGCAGAAGCTGTGGCTCCAGGACGGGTTTGCCCTGGGCGCTGGGGCCAGCAGCTGGGACGTTGGCGAGTGGCGGCTGCCACCCATCTCGCTGGAGCAGCTCCAGGCGGCCTGCAAGCGCTACAGCCCCTCGGTGGGGCTCGGGTGCGACTCTCTGCACCCTCGGCAGATCCTCCTGCTGCCCGTGGCGCTGCAGCAGCGCATCCTGGACATCCTGGCGGCCTACGACGACGCCCCTGCATCGATCAGCGGGCAGGTCTCCCTGATGGTGTTCATCCCGAAGGCAGATGGAGGGGTAAGGCCCATTGCGTTGCTGCCGCTGGTCCTGCGGCTGTGGTCGCGCCTCCGCCAGCCTTGCTGCGCCCGCTGGGAGGCTGACCACGACTTCCCCTTTTTCTGGGGACGTGACGGGCGGGACTGTGAGCGGGCTGGGTGGCTGCACAACTGTTTTGCGGGGTTCGCGAAGGCGAACCAGCAGTTCGAGGCCGCGAGCCTTTTCCTGGACATCAGCAAGTTCTACGAGCACGTGCGTCACGATGTTCTCTGGGCGAATGCAGTACGTTTCGGGTTCAACCTCAGGCTGTTGCGCGGCCTCCTCACCTCCTACCAGGCCCCTAGGATGATCCTCGCGGCGGGCATGGCTTCCCCCGCCTTCGGCACTACGGGTACGGTTTTGGCTGGGTGTGCGTGTGCGACAGCAGTTGCGAAGCTCCCAGTGCTGGGCGCCCTCCTGGCCGCGGGGGCGACGTGCCCGTTGGTCACGCCGAGGAATGTTGTCGACGACATCTCGCTCCAGGCGGTCGGCACGGCCCGACTAGTTAAGCGGCAGATGTTGGTCTCCAGCTGTGAAGTGGTCCGCCTGCTGCGTGAGCAGCACCTCCCACTCAACGAGAGTAAGTCGGTCTTCCTGGCCTCGTCGCCGCAGCTCGCCAAGGAGCTTTCCGAGGCGTGGGCAGCGCAGGGCCTGGCCTTCAAGAGGGGACTGCAGGCGAGGAACCTCGGCACCGACGCCAACATCACTCGTCGAGGCGTGCATGAAGGAGCAGGGCGTGCGGTCGGCGGCCTTCGGCGTGGCCGCAGGCTCGGGGTGCTTCGCTCAGCTGGGGCGGCGACCGAGATGGTCCACCGTGTTGGGCCCGCCGCAGCGATGCTGTGGGGGCGTACGGTGACTGGTGTACCTGATAGGGAGCTTCATTCGTGGCGCTTGGCGGCTGTGCGCTCGGCTGGGAGGTTCCCCAAGGGCGCCTCTCTCGGGCTGAGGCTCAGAGCGGTGGAGGTCATGCGGTCCATCGACCTCGACCCGAGCCCCGCGCTGCTTCGCGCCGCTGTGCAGATGGCGGCAAGCCTCCTTCAGTCGGGGGAGGTCTCGCAGCGCATGTTCGAGACGGCCGTGCAGGAGGCGGAGCGGAGGCACGCGGGAGCAGCAGCCCCATGGGCGCACTGCCGTACGCCACTGGATGCCTTGGCCCTCTCGCTCACCAGGGTGGGCTGGAGGCTCGTCCAAGGCACCTGCCTCGCCACCGACGACGGCCACATCCTGGACCTGCGCATGATGGGGCCGCGCGAGCTGGGCCTGCTGGCAGCGGCAGGGGCGCGGCGTGCTTCGGACAGGTCGGAGCTGGCCCGCCTAGGCCACGGTGCGCTCCCCCCGTTGCCCCTGTTCTGGGAGGCCTTCTCGGAGGTCCTCGGGCCGGGCAGCAAGCTCAGCCCCAGGGAGAAGGCGGCGGTGGTGAGTTTCCTTTCCAACGCCCACTGGCCCCAGACCCGCTTGCACTCGGCGGGGGAGAGGGAGCATGCTCGCTGCTGCGCTTGCGATGCACCCCGCGGCAGTCTCTGGCACAGGCTGTTCGAGTGTCCCGTCCTCGCGGGGCCGAGGCGCGACTCTACCTCCGACCGCCTTCGGCGTTGCGCACACCGTGCACGTGGCCGAGGTGAGGAGGCGGGGGAATGCTTTGCGCGCTGCTGGCTCCCTCAGCCCCCGAGGGCCGCACCGAGGTCGGATGCCATGGCTGTCATGTGGCGCAATCGCCCCGCTGACGGTCTCCTCGGGGGGCGTCTCTACCTGGATGGGTCGGCGCTCGACCCTGAGCACGCGAGCCTGCGGCGTGCGGGTTGGAGCATCGTGCAGTGCGACTCCGACGGCAACATGGAGTGCGCGGTGTACGGCAGCGTGCGCCAAGACCTCTGCCCTTTCCAGTCGGCCAAGGACGGCGAGGATTTCGCGGTCTGGATGCTGTCCCGCTTCCTGGGCCCGTGTGTGGACGAGATCCTCATCGATTGTGCGTCTACGGTCAGCTGCCTCACGTTGGGCAAGAGGTACGCGACGGCAGCCAACAAGCCCAATGCCCATCTCTGGGAGGGGATCTACGCTTCGCTGGACGTGGACATGCTCAAGGTTACCAAAGTGGCAGCCCACTGCACCGCCCGTGACGTGCTGGATGGCAAGATCACGGAGGCGGACCTCCGCGGCAACGGTCATGCCGACCGCTGGGCCAAGGCAGGTGCGGAGCTGCACCGCTCCAGCCCCGTGGCCAGGCGTGAGTTCTTCGGCACGATGGAGGTGGTGAGGGAGCTCTCATGCTGGGTGGCGCAGGCCTCCCTCATCTGGCAGGGGATCGAGGTCAAGGACTGCGAGGGCCTGCCTGAGGGCAGCGAGCGGACGGCTGTTTCCTTCGCCGAGCCCGTGGTGGAGCCCGCCAGCTGCCGCCAGTCCGACTCGGGTTCGGGCGACGGGTGGGCCTCGGCGGCGCGCGCTGGTGGAGTATCCCTCGGTGCGACGGCCTTCGTCGTCGCTGGCCACGTCCTGGCCTTCGCCAGGTGCGGGGAGGGCGCCGACGAGCAGGAGCTGATGGCGTGCACCCACTGCGGGGCGTACGCGCGGCTGGGCGGGCGCTCAGGCGCGGCGCCCAAGCTCAAGGAGCAATGCCCAGGGTCTGCTGGGCTTCCCAAGGGCAGGCGCGACCAGAAGGCACGCTGGCTGCAGGGGCGGCATCCTGCTGGCACGCCCCACAGCGGCAGCAAGCGGGTCGGCGCGACAGTGCCCAGCCTGCGCAAGGAGGACGTGGTGCCGATGGACGCCAGGGTGCGCTTCCTGCAGTGGCTGGGGGTCCGCCCCGAGGATGGTGCCCCTGGCGGCGATGCCGCCGGCGCCAGCCGCGGGCCCCCCAGCGGCGCGGCGGCCGCTGGCGAGGCGGCGGCGGAGCCGTTGGTGCCTGGCCCCGCGGGGGCCTCGAGGGAGGCATGGCTGAGCGCCTACGGCCTGGACGAGGCGAGCCTCCTCGAGTGGTCAGCCGCGGCTGAGACGGCGCGCGAGGACAGGCGCAAGAGGCGCCGCCTTGCAGTTGATGACGAGGGGTCGTGATGCAGCATCATCTTCTTCTTCCTGTTGTGTCCGCCCCCTCTCGTGGTCTGCAGGTCTGCAGACACCTTCACCTTCTTTCTGTGAGTTCGTGAGGCAGCACCTTCATTTTGTTGAGTGTTTCAGCCCTCACGTCGAGGTCAGGCATGTTAGCGTTGGCTATGCGTGTGCTGGCCATCACCCTTGAGGTTCGTGGGGTGGCTGCACCGTCATTCTTTGTGTGCGTCAGCCCTCTCGTCGAGGTCAGGCCCGTTTGGCTTTGCAATGCGTGTGCTGGCCTCACCTCGAGGTTCGTGAGGCCCTTCGTCATTTGTTGAGGGTGTGGGCCTCGCGTCTCATTTGCTGCGAGGCAGGCATGTTGGCCTTGCTATGCGTGCCTCAGCCTCCTCGGCCTTCTTGATTTCTTTGAAATCTAGCGCTTCGCGCGTCTGGCGCTTCGCGCCCTCCCCTGCGGTGGCTCCTTCGGGGCCCCTTGGGTTGGCCCTTGAGGCCCTGGGGCCAACGTGCTCCGCGGGCCTCGGGCTCCTTTTAGCCTTCATAGGCCCCGCAGCTCACAGCTCACACAAGAGCACGGCAGGCCACACAGGAGCACGGCAGACCACACAGGAGCACGGCAGACCACAAAGGAGCACGGCAGACCACACAAGAGCACGGCAGACCCCACAAGAGCACGGCAGACCCCACAGGAGCACGGCAGACCCCACAGGAGCACGGCAGAGCAGACCCAAAAGGAGCACGGCAGACCACACAGGAGCAAGGCAAACCACAGGAGCACGGCAGACCACACAGGAGCACGGCAGACCCCACAGTAGCAAGGCAGACCCCAAAGGAGCACGGCAGACCACCGGAGCACGGCAGACCACACAGGAGTACGGCAGACCCCACATGAGCACGGCAAATCCCAAATGAGCACGGCAGACCACAAGAGCACGGCAGACCACACAGGAGCACGGCAGACTCCACAGGAGCACGGCAGACCACAAAGGAGCACGGCAGACCACACAGGAGCCCGGCAGACGCCACAGGAGCACGGCAGACGCCACAGGAGCACGGCGGAACCCACAGGAGCACGGCAGACCGCGCGCGGGTACAACATAAACGCGCCTTTTTGTTGTACCCCGAACGCCGCTGGCGTTTCCCCAACAGGAGCACGGCAGATCTCACAGGCGCGCGGCAGACCCCAAATGAGCACGGCCGACCACAGGAGCACGGCAGACCCCAAATGAGTACGGCAGACCCCAAAAGAGCACCGTAGACGCTTCAGGAGCACGGCTGACCACACAGGAGCACGGCAGACCACACAGGAGCGCGGCAAACCACAAAGGAGCAAGGCAGACCCCAAATGAGCACGGCAGTCCACACGTTCGCACGGCAGACCGCACAGGAGCACGGCAGACCCCACATGAGCACGGCAGACCAAGAAGGAACACGGCAGACCACACAGGAGCACGGCAGACCACACAGGAGCACGGCAGACCACACAGGACACGGCAGACCCCACGGGAGCACGGCAGACCACACAGGAGCACGGCAAACCACACAAGAGCACGGCAGACCATACAGGAGCACGCCAGACCACACAGGAGCACGGCAGACCACACGTTCGCACGGCAAACTCCACAGGAGCACGGCAGACCCCAAAGAAGCACGGCAGTGGTACGTGGCACTGCTGTGGTATGCCGTACTAAAAACGTGGAATATCTCATAAGCCCAGGGGACAAAAGGACGCTTCCCGTTCTTGTCCGGTCAGGTTCCCCAAAATGGCCATTTCGCTCGAGACATCCTCCTAAAATCGAGGTGTGGTCTGCCGTGCTCCTGTGTGGTCTGCCGTGCTCCTGTGGTCTGCCGTGCTCCCCACAGGAGCACGGCAGACCGCGCGCAGGAACCGAGAGGAGCACGGCAGACCAAGACGAGGAGCACGGCAGACCAGGCACTGAAACCGAGAGGAGCACGGCAGACCAAGACGAGGAGCACGGCAGACCAGGCACCAAGAGCGCCCTCAAGACGACGGAAAGGATGACCAAGACGAGGAGCACGGCAGACCAAGACGAGGAGCACGGCAGACTATGCCTAAGAGTGCCCTCAAGACGGCCGAACAAGCGGGACGTTCTGGCTGAATCCTTGAGTAAATATATCTTTTCTTTAACTATATGGGTTGAGCACGGCAGACACCACACGAGCACGGCAGATCCCAAATGAGCACGGCAGACACAGAAGCACTGCAGACCGCACAAGAGCACCGCAGACCTCACAGGAGCACGGCAGACCCCACAGGAGCACGGCAGACCCCACAGGAGCACGGCAAACCACAAAGGAGCACGGCAGACCACAGAAGCACGGCAAACCACACAGGAGCACGGCAGACCACACAGGAGCACGGCAATCCCCACAGGAGCACGGCAGACCGCGCACAGGTACAACATAAACGCGCCTTTTCTTGTACCCCGAACGCCGCTGGCGTTTCCCCCACAGGAGCACGGCAGACCCCACAAGCTGGCGGGAAACCCCAAATGAGCACGGCAGACCACAGGAGCACGGCAGACCACACAGGAGCACGGCAGACGCCACAGGAGCACGGCAGACCGCGCAGGAGCACGGCAGACCACACATGAGCACGGCAGACCCCACAGGAGCACGGCAGACCCCATAGGAGCACGGCAGACCACAGAAGAGCACGGCAGACCAACAGGAGCACGGCAGACCACACAAGAGCACGGCAGGCCACACAGGAGCACGGCAGACCACACAGGAGCACGGCAGACCACAAAGGAGCACGGCAGACCACACAAGAGCACGGCAGACCCCACAAGAGCACGGCAGACCCCACAGGAGCACGGCAGACCCCACAGGAGCACGGCAGAGCAGACCCAAAAGGAGCACGGCAGACCACACAGGAGCAAGGCAAACCACAGGAGCACGGCAGACCACACAGGAGCACGGCAGACCCCACAGTAGCAAGGCAGACCCCAAAGGAGCACGGCAGACCACCGGAGCACGGCAGACCACACAGGAGTACGGCAGACCCCACATGAGCACGGCAAATCCCAAATGAGCACGGCAGACCACAAGAGCACGGCAGACCACACAGGAGCACGGCAGACTCCACAGGAGCACGGCAGACCACAAAGGAGCACGGCAGACCACACAGGAGCCCGGCAGACGCCACAGGAGCACGGCAGACGCCACAGGAGCACGGCGGAACCCACAGGAGCACGGCAGACCGCGCGCGGGTACAACATAAACGCGCCTTTTTGTTGTACCCCGAACGCCGCTGGCGTTTCCCCAACAGGAGCACGGCAGATCTCACAGGCGCGCGGCAGACCCCAAATGAGCACGGCCGACCACAGGAGCACGGCAGACCCCAAATGAGTACGGCAGACCCCAAAAGAGCACCGTAGACGCCTCAGGAGCACGGCTGACCACACAGGAGCACGGCAGACCACACAGGAGCGCGGCAAACCACAAAGGAGCAAGGCAGACCCCAAATGAGCACGGCAGTCCACACGTTCGCACGGAAGACCGCACAGGAGCACGGCAGACACCACATGAGCACGGCAGACCAAGAAGGAGCACGGCAGACCACACAGGAGCACGGCAGACCACACAGGAGCACGGCAGACCACACAGGACACGGCAGACCCCACGGGAGCACGGCAGACCACACAGGAGCACGGCAAACCACACAAGAGCACGGCAGACCATACAGGAGCACGCCAGACCACACAGGAGCACGGCAGACCACACGTTCGCACGGCAAACTCCACAGGAGCACGGCAGACCCCAAAGGAGCACGGCAGTGGTACGTGGCACTGCTGTGGTATGCCGTACTAAAAACGTGGAATATCTCATAAGCCCAGGGGACAAAAGGACGCTTCCCGTTCTTGTCCGGTCAGGTTTTTCCCGGATGAATATCGGGGTCGAAGGGCGCCGGCGGATTCAATTTTGAGGATGACTCGAGCGAAACGCTCATTTTTCCCGGAAAGGGCTGAAGCCCAGGGTTCTCTTTTAGAAGTTTGCCTCCGGAATCGACGGGAAGAGGGCTGGCGGAATTATTCTGCGATAGTTCACGTGCGGGAAGAGGGCCAGCGGAATTATTTTTGAGGAAGTCTCGAGCGAAACGCTTGTTTCTCAGAATTTGTTGAGGATGTCTCGAGCGAAACGCTGGTTTTGCAGAGTTGGGGATGTCTCAAGCGAAACGCTTGGTTTCAGAATTTCTTGAGGATGTTTTGCAGAGCCGACCGTGACACGGTAAATCGCCCCGCGCGCAGGAATTCCGAGGATGTCTCGCGCGTGCCGCGTCCCGCGCGCAGGAATTTCGAGGAAGTCTCGACTAAGTCGCTTGTTTCCGGAAAGAGCTTCAGGCCCAGGGTTCTCTTTTAGCTGGATTACCCCCGGTTTTGACTTGAAGTGGGCCGGCGAAATTAGTCTGCGTAAATAACACAGTAAAATGCTTCTTATTTATTATGCGTTTCGTGCGTGCCCGCTCGAGTAAAGTGCGCCCCCCATCTCGGATCCTCGATATAAAAAAAAGGGCCCGCAGACCCCCGTTTTCCTTAGTAAACAAGAGAGTGCGGAGCGTTTTTCGCAGAATCCTCGACAACTAACGGGGTCTGGAGCCCCGACCGCGACGCGGAAAAGCGCCCCGCGCGCAGGAATTCCGAGGATGTCTCGCGCGTGCCGCGTCAGGCGCGCAGGAATTTCGAGGATGTCTCGACTAATTCGTTTGTATTGACAGGATTTCTTAGAATTTTGGCAAGATCTCTTGAGCGAAACGCTTGTTTTTCATAGTTTGTTGAGGATGTCTCGAGCGAAACGCTGGTTTTGCAAAATTTTGGGATGTCTCGAGCGGGGGCTTCGTGGGGGGCCAGAATTCAAAGGATGTCTCAGGCGAAATGCTTGTTTTCGTGTCCCGCTCGCAGGAATTCCAAGGATGTCTCGCACGGGCCGCGTCCCGCGCGCAGGAATTTTGCGGATGTCTGGATTAATTCGTTTTGTTTTGACAGGATTTCTTAGAATTTTGGTAGGATGTCTTGAGCGAAACGCTTGTTTTTCATAATTTGTTGAGGATGTCTCGAGCGAAACGCTGGTTTTGCAAAATTGGGGGATGTCTCGAGCGGGGTCTTCGTGGGGGGGCAGAATTCAGAGGATGTCTCAGGCGAAATGCTTGTTTTCGTGTCCCGCTCGCAGGAATTCCGGGGATGTCTCGCGCGTGCCACGTCCCGCGCGCAGGAATTTTGAGGATATCCCGTAGCGCGTCCCCTTGGCACGTCCTACGGTGCGACCCCATGGCACGTCCCTTGGCACGTCGCCTGGCGCGTCCCTTGGGACGTTTCGCGGCGCGTCCTCCTGGCATGTTCCCCTGTCAATTAGCTCTGGGGCAGCTACTATGTGTTCAGGCAGCTCGAGCTTCAGATCCAGATCAGTTCGGTCAGGACTCGGATGCAAAGGAAGACTCGATCCACGACGCTATAGAGCACAACCGCGGCATGGCACATCGCAATTCAGCACGGTGCAGCACAGCACAGCCCTCGGCAGGGTACATCAAGATCGATACACTCAGCATTGCATTTGCCCGTCACCCAATCAGGTGTCTTTGGAAACGCTGCCACGCGTTACATTTCTATATTCCTTTCCGGGTTCGTGGGTCGATCCTGTTTTTTTTATGATTCCCTTGAATTTTGGCAGGATGTCTCGAGCGAAATGTTCATTTTTTCCCGGAAAGGGCTGAAGCCCAGGGTTCTCTTTTAGAAGTTTGCCCCCGGAATCGACGGGAAGAGGGCCAGCGGAATTATTCTGCGATAAATCACGTGCGGGAAGAGGGCCGGCGGAATTATTTCTGAGGATGTTTCGAGCGAAACGCTTGTTTTTCAGAATTTGTTGAGGATGTCTCCAGCGAAACGCTGGTTTTGCAGAGTTGGGGATGTCTCGAGCGAAACGCTTGGTTTCAGAATTTGTTGAGGATGTCTCGAGCGAAACGCTGGTTTTGCAGAGCCGACCGCGACACGGAAAAGCGCTCCTCGCGCAGGAATTCCGAGGATGTCTCGCGCGTGCCGCGTCCCGCGCGCAGGAATTTTGATTTCTTGGGGTTTTGTCAGGATGTCTCGAGCGAAACGCTTGTTTTTCATAATTTGTTGAGGATGTCTCGAGCGAAACGCTGGTTTTGCAAAATTGAGGGATGTCTCGAGCGGGGGCCTCGTGGGGGGCCAGAATTCAGAGGATGTCTCAGGCGAAATGCTTGTTTTCGTGTCCCGCTCGCAGGAATTCCGAGGATGTCTCGCGCGTGCCGCGTCCCGCGCGTAGGAATTCGGATGATTTTGACAGGATGTCTCGAGCGAAATGCTTGTCCCCAGCACGTTCCGTAGCGCGTCCCCTTGGCACGTCCCGCGGTGCGACCCCATGGCGCGTCCCCTGGCACGTCGCCTGGCGCATCCCTTGGGACGTTTCGCGGCGCGTCCTCCTGGCATGTTCCCCTTGTCAATTAGCTCTGGGGCAGCTACTATGTGTTCAGGCAGCTCGAGCTTAAGATCCAGATCAGTTCGGTCAGGACTCGGATGCAAAGGAGGACTCGATCCACGACGCTATAGAGCACAACCGCGGCATGGCACATCGCAATTCAGCACGGTGCAGCACAGCACAGCCCTCGGCACGGTACATCAAGATCGATACACTCAGCATTGCAACTTGGCACGTTCCGTGGGGCGTCCCTTGGCGAGTCCCCCTGGCACGTCGCGTGGCGCGTCCCCTGGCACATTCCGTGGCACATCCATTGGCACGTTCCGTAGCGCGTCCCTTTGGCACGTCCTACGGTGCGACCCCATGGCGCGTCCCCTGGCACGTCGCCTGGCGCATCCCTTGGGACGTTTCGCGGCGCGTCCTCCTGGCATGTTCCCCTGTCCATTAGCTCTGGGGCAGCTACTATGTGTTCAGGCAGCTCGAGCTTAAGATCCAGATCAGTTCGGTCAGGACTCGGATGCAAAGGAGGACTCGATCCACGACGCTATAGAGCACAGTCGCGCCATGGCACATTGCAATTCAGCACGGCGCAGCACAGCACAGCCCTCGGCAGGGTACATCAAGATCGATACACTCAGCATTGCATTTGCCCGTCACCCAAGCAGGTGTCTTTGAAAACGCTGCCATGTGTTACAGTTCTATGTTCCTTTCCGGGTTCGTGGGTCGATCATGTTCAGAATGTGTTGAGGATGTCTCAAGCGAAGCGCTGGTTTTGCAAAATTGGGGGATGCCTCGAGCGAAACGCTTGTTTTCAGAATTTGTTGAGGATGTCTCGAGCGAAACGCTGGTTTTGCAGAGCCGACCGCAACACGGAAAAGCGCCCCGCGCGCAGGAATTCCGAGGATGTCTCGCGCGTGCCGCGTCCCGCGCGCAGGAATTTCGAGGATGTCTCGATTAATTCGTTTGTTGTTCTAGGATGTCCTTGAATTTTGGCAGGATGTCTCGAGCGAAATGCACGACCCCACCTAGCACGACCACACCCCAGCACGACGACACCCCAGCACGACCACACCCCAGCACGACCCCACCCCAGCACGACCCCACCCCAGCACGACCCCACCCCAGCACGACCCCACCCCAGCACGACCCCACCCCAGCACGACCCCACCCCAGCAAGACCCCACCCCAGCACGACCACACCCCAGCACGACCTCACCCCAGCACGACCACCCCCCAGCACGACCACGCCCCAGCACGACCACACCCCAGCACGACCACGCCCCAGCACGACCACACCCCAGCACGACCTTTCCCCAGCACGACCACACCCCAGCACGACCACATCCAAGCACGACCACACCCAGTCGCACCCCCGTGGAATGTTTCGTGGGGTGTCTGGTTGAGTGGTTGCCTGTTCGTGGGGTGTCTCGTGGAATGTTTCACGGGGTGTCTCGTGGAATGTTTCTTGAGGTGTCTCGTGGAATGTTTCGTGAGGTGTCTCGTGGGATGTTTCGCGGGGTGTGTCGTGGATGTTTCGTGAGGTGCCGCCCAGTTGGGTATCGTGAAAACGTGACCATGCTGCACAGGTCTGTATTCCTTTCCGGGTTCGTGGGTCCATCATGTTGAGATTCCGATCGGTGTAGCAAATCGTAAAATATATAGGGCTGTCTCGAGCGACACTCTTGTTTTGCAGCATTTGTTCAGGACGTCTCGAGCGAAACGTTTGTGTTGTCATGTATTTTGCTCCTTTCCTCGGGGCCAGAATTCAGGGGATGTCTCAGGCGAAATGCTTGTGTTTACGTGCCCAGGTCGCCCAGGTGGTATCTAACATGGTTGTCCCCAGACGGAACTACGTGCTTTCACATGTCCAGGCCAGCCAGAAGGGTCGAACATGGCGGTCCCTCGCCAGACCTACGTGCTTTGACGTGTCCAGGCCCTCGTGGCCCTGGGATCGTGGCCATGGTTGTCCTCAGATGTAGCTACGTGTTTTCACATGTCCAGGCCAACGACACCAGCGCATTTTTACACAGCACCACCGCCACGTCTTCACCAACGAGTACCACGGACAGTGCTTCTACGTGGAGAAGCACGACGTTCAGCAGCACAGCGGATAGCAGTGTATCGGGCAGCAGCAGCAGCACAACGTCCTCTCCGCACAGTTTTACCCTTACGAGCTTGAGCAGCACCACGGAGACAAGCACTACGACATTGACAAGCACAACGCAGACAAGCACGACAGCAATCATATCGACAAACTTTACGACGGAGAGCCGCGTCGTTCCACGCCCTCCCCCTCACGTTCCTCTTCGTCTTCCTCCCGAGGAGATGCACCACTTTGCATTCGTCGTAGCCGTCCAGGCGATAAAACATACGGGTGACCCTCGCTGCCCGAAGGAAATGTCTTGGGATGTCCTCAAAAGCCAGCCCTTTGGAAGCCCAGTGTCTGGGGGCTCCCCGTGATGTTGCTGTTGCTCATGCCGCTCGTCCTATTGCTCTTGGTTGGGTTGACAGGGCATTCTCTCGGAAAGAGCTCGGGCTCAGGGTTATCTTCCAGTTCCAGGAAAGTGCAGGGGCCCAGGGTGTTTCCCGTTCCCGGAAAGGGCCCTGTCCCAGGGTTCTCGTTTAGTATTGTTCCCCCCCCGGTTTCGACTTGAAGGAGGCCGGCGGAATTATTTTGCGATGAATGACGAGTTGAAGGAGGTCGACGGACTTATGTTTGAGGATGTCTCGAGCGAAACGCGTGTTTTTCAGAATTTGTTGAGGATGTCTCGAGCGAAACGCTTGTTTGGTGCTGTACATCATTTTCTCCTGGGGACCAGAATTCAGAGGATCTCTGAAGTGAAATGCTTGTTTTCACGTGCCCAGGTCTCGAGGATGTCTCGAGCGAGACGCTTGGTTTCACGCCTCCAGTTTGCCCAGACAGAGGTCTAGCGCCAGGATTTGTTGAGGATGCCTCGAGCGAGACGCTTGGTTTTACGCGTGTTCCTGAAGATTGCCTTAGCGAACGCCTGAGAGCGGGACAAACGTGAAAACATTTGGATTCCTGCCACCCCAGAGCATGGCAAGCGTGAAAACACATGGTTCCTAACGCCACAAAGCGGGACAAGCTTGAAAACACATGGTTCCTAACGGCCCAGAGCGGGACAAGCGCGAAGATACGTGGGTTCCTGACGCCCCAGCGTGGGTTCCTACCGCCCCAGAGCGGGACAAGCGTGAACACACGTGGGCGCCTAACGCCCCAGAGCGGGACAAGCGTGACAACAAATGGGTTTCTAACGCTCGAGAGCGGGACAAGCGTTGAAACACGTGAGTTCCTAACGCCCCAGAGCGGGACCAGCGTGAACACGTGGCTTCCTAAAGCCCCGATGGCCCTCCGGAGGCGTCCAGGTGAGCCCCAAGAGGCCCTCACGAGGCCCCAAAGACGCCTTACAGAGACCCCAGGAAGCCGCAACTCGAGATGCCTCAAGAGGTCCCCAAGAGCCCCCCAAGGTGCCCAGAATACGCCATTAAGATGCCACCAAGAGGCCCCCAAGAGTCGCACGAGGTCTTTACGAGCCCCACGAGCTCCCAAGAGGCCCCCAAGAGCCTCCCCAAGAGGCCCCAAGAGGGATCAAAGAAGCTCTCAAGAGGCCCCCAAGATGCCCCAACAGGCCCCCACGACGCCCCCAAGAGACCCCCAGGAGGCCCCCAGGGCCCCGTCCAGTGGCCCCCAAGGCGCCCTCAAGACGCCCCCACCACGCACACAAGAGGCTCCCAGGAGCCCCACACTCCGTAGCCATTTTGGCTCAAGCCATTTTGGCTCAAGTTGCCACCGCTCAAGCCAGCTGGGCAGGAGCAGCCCTGCCCCCTTTTTTCGCTTACACCCACACGCCGCAGTTGCCGCCATGTCGTCCAGGACGCCCTGGGTTTTCAAAGGAGTAGGATCTCCAGTCGTTTCTCATACTAAGTTGCTTTGCCCGCGTGGCAGACCAGACTGTTGGATCTGCCCTAACAGAATTGCTTCTCAACCGTTCTGTAAGTGCGGGCTCCCCTGGCATGGGAAGAGTTCCCAGCCACTCCAGCCTCCTCCGCCACCACCAGTAGCAGCGAAGTCTGGGCGCACAGAAAAGCCCACTGCTGAGGTAGCATCTGGCAGTGAGAAGATTCAGTCCAAATATAAGCCCACCTTTCAGGTAGAAGCCGACCGTGAGAAGGCGCATTCATCACCGCCGCCTCTTGTGGCAGTGAAGTCTGGTCCCAAAGACAAGGCCACTGGTCAGGTAGAATCCGACAGTGAGCAGGGCCAGGATTTCAAAGTCAGGCATCAGCTCGAGTTACTGATCTCGGATGTCTTCCAGCAGTACGAACCTCGAATGCTGGATCAGTTGGGCAGTTCTTGGACAAGTACAGGGGGAAAGACAAGTTTTTCTAGTTGGTAGTATGCGAGAAATCAAACGTCGAGCCTAAGGTGAAGGTTCAGATCTCTAAGAAGGAAGACAAACTTCCAGATGTTCTGGACAGTGGTAGCGATTCCGATTCACCATCTGTCAGTGCAAAACATGTCGACCGTCCTCGTTCGACTTCTCCAGAGCACGCTAGTAAGCGTGCAAAGGTTGTGCACAGCGATGCAGCCCTTTTCATGGAATCAGCCCCGTCCAACCCAAGACTTCTGGAGCTCAAGTGGGGTCTCCAGGCTATCAAGATAAAGCACCTCCAGCAGCTGCTGGAGACACTCCAGGTTGAGCTCAGTCGTGTTAAGAATCAAAACACAGCTTCAGGCAGTGCGCCTGTTCCTCGGAGGAGCAGATCCAGCTCAGACCCCTCTTCTTCAAAGTAAACGGAGTTCAATGTCGTTGGTAGCACCCAAGTCTTTCAGTTCAGCGGCAGAATTTATATTACATCATGGGCACACTGGGCTACTTTTGTTTTGGCTTAGATGAGCGAAGTTTCTATGGCTACAGGTTTTTGGTAGAATCCTCCTTTTGTGTTGGTCAGTTCTGCGTTTGGGTAGGACATTCGTCAGCTACCCAGCGTTCTTTAACCTTCACGCGTCCCGTATCCTTTTGGCCAGCATGGCAGTACTGTTGAAGCAGGTTGCTTACTTTCTTCAGTTTTCCTTGTCAGGTGATAGTTAGGGCAGCTGCATTTCTGCCCAGTTTATTCTTACTCTTATCAGGGGTCCAGGAAAGTCTGGCGAAGTAATCCCCTAGTCTTTCTTTTCTTCATCCCTTATGGGGGATGGTAAGGCTTCGCTTTGCTAGGGGTCAGCCCATTAGTATGTGAGAAATGAGTTACCCCAGTGCATTGCAGTTGATCTCCTTCCCCCACTTGCTCCTTCATGCATCTCCCCTCCCTCCTTCCTCCCTCCAGACAGTTCAAGGAATTGGCAGCCAGGTCGCAGGCGAAAGCAAGTGGCCTTCCCTGGCGGGTCTTGCCATGGTCTCACCATGCCCGAAAGTCCGAACCTGCAAGTTGGCGTTCAGGGATGGTTCGTGTCTGGGGAGGAATTGGTGGGTGGGATGGGATTCTCCTCCCCGTTCTGGGGAAGGTCTGCGTCGATCCGTCTGGCCTGGGCACGGCTCATTAGAAGGTGGGCAGCGTTGAACCCGGGCTAGTTGTTTCATGCGTTTTCCTTCTCCTCCTTTCCTCCTCCTGGGGTAGAGTTCGTTGGAGCCGAATCGGAACTGGCAGCGCCCCAGGCAATGCCTGGGGGTCAGCTGCTGTCCGAGGAACGCGCCTGTGCTTTAGATCATCCCCGAAGCGAATGTCAAAAAAAAACCCCAGGAACCCCATGCATCACTTTATGGAAGGACGACGACGAGTGAGCGCGGGAAGGAAGGACGGGCAATGAAGAGAGAAAGGGGACGACGGCAAGTGGCAGTGTGGAGAACACACCCCAAAAACGCCGGAACAGGTCCCCACGGGAATCCCAACCAAGAGAACGGAGCGGACGCCAGGATCCCCGTGCAGAAACGAGCGTCGTAATTATGGAGACGCCAGGCAGCCAGCATTGCGGAGGCCGACACCAATGTTTATCCATTCGCGTTTCCCCACCAACACGTGATGCCAAGGGGAGTTGTATGAAAGAGATGCGCAGATAAGCATGTAATGGAACAGTGAGGCGTGCAATGCTGCAGTTCGAGACCTCGAGGGACCTCTTTTGAGCCCTGTTCGGGCATTTCGTATGCATCTTGCGCTCTCTGTGGGACTCTTTGGGGATCCTCTTGAAGTCCTTCAGGGCCATCGTGGAGCTCACTTAGATCTATCTTGGAGCCATCTTGGACGCTGTGGGGACCCTGCTGGGGCCATCTTGGAGGTCACCGTGCAGAAACGGTAGCAACGCCGACTACAGCCCCCCGTCGAAGCTCCAGATTCGCTTCCTGGTGCCATCTTGCGGCGCTCTTGGTGTCCTCTTGCCGTTTTGGGGCTTTCATTGGCGCATAGTGTTGCCCATTCGGGCTATCTTGGAGCTACCTCGAGGCCTCAAGCGAACTCCTGAAATTGAACAGCAGGAAGGTAACACCTCCGAGTAACGTTAATGCTGATCATTCGGGGACCTCCTTGAGGGGCTCCTTGGCCACCGGCAGCCGCCTTGGAGCGGTCTTGCGGCCTCTAGGATGAAAGGGGCCCTGGGACACACACATAAATTCACACAAATAAGAATATCCCCAATATTTTCCTATATTTTCTGGGTTTTTGTCTTCCCCCCCACTTCCCATATTTTCCAATATTTTCGGGGGAATCGACGATTCATTGTGTCTGTGTGTTTCCTCCCTCCTGACCGGAGACAAGTTAGAAGCCGCATGGGACCATCTTGGCTACTCTCGCAGATCTTGCAGCCGTCTTGGGCTGCTCGGGCCCCTCGTGGAGCCAGTTTCAGCCCTATCGGACACTCCGACGCATCGAGGGCGGTGTCCAAACCTTGGCATCGCTCGGACGTGTGCATTTTTCCTTCGGCGAGGACTATCGAGGAGCATCCCTGATCATTTGGCGAAAAAGCCACGCACGAAACCGAAAGAAACACAAGAAATGGACGTCCGAGCGATGGCCAGAAACCCAGGGGGAGGGGGTAGAGAGAGAAGCACCCCCCTTCCCGAAGCGGAATATAAAGGGGTGAGAACAACGACCTCGCACAACTCCTCACGCCCCCAAGGGCTGGCCAGGTTCGCAAAACGAATTGGACAGTGAAGCAACACACAGATGGAATAATGCAGCAAATGGCGCCACTGCAAAACGAGGACGAGTTCATCGGAGGGGGGCGAGGACGGCAAGGCGGAAAGAGCGAGGCAATGATGGATTAGCCGTGGAGATATATGATGACGATCGGAAGCAGGGGGAGCGTTCAGGACGACGACACATCTGACGCGCATTTCTGTGCAAAACAATTTGAAGGCTTGAAAGCACTGTCGACACGAGCCTGCAAGCGCTCCTGAAGAGCTTACCGCTTCTGTTTCGGCCGTTGCGCTTGCTTCCAAGGCGCACGGCTACCTAGAAGCAGAGCGCGCGCGGAGGGCTCGCAGATGTTTCTAGTATTTAACGATACCCGGCGATTGGGTCCCTTGGCCGGGGGGCGACACACTTTTCCAAAACTCCCCCCGCGGGCGTCAAACTTTGGTCCCAGGGGCTGGCGGGCCTTCTTGCTTCTTGTGGGTGTTTGAAAGCTCGGGGGGTCTCTCTGGGCCTCGAAGGGCGTCTTCGCTGGCCCCAGAGGACACTCAGAGGCCGCCAAGACAGCCCCAAGACCGCCCGAGAGTGCAGCATAAGGGCCCAAGAGGCCCCCTAATACGGCCCAGGGCAGCTCCGAGAGCCCAAGCAGGCTCTCGAGGAAGTCTCCGAGAGGCCGCCGAGGGGCCAACTTTGTCAACGAGCCACAAATTTCAGGAGGGAAAAAGCACACAGACACAGTTAATCATCGATTCCCTAGAAAGTATAAGAAAATATGGGAAGTGGGGGGGAAGACAGAAACCCAGAACATATGGGAAAATATGGGGAATCTTTTTATTTGTGTGTATTTATTTGTGTGTCCTGGGGCCCCTTCAAAATTGCCGCACAATGTTTGCATTCCTGCTTTTGGTTTTGAAGACGGCACATAGCGCTCCCGACATCGCTGCGAGACGGCCCAGAGGGCCCCACCGAGCACCCCAAGACTGCCCTGGACGGCCCCAAGACGGCCCAAGAGGGCCCCAAGACGAGCCCATGAGGCCCCCAGGACGGCCCGATGACGCCCAAGGAGGCCCCAAGACGGCCCACACAGGCCTCCAAGTCAGCCTCCCAAGGCTTCTGTTGAGCCAAAAGTTCTAAGACAGCTCAAAAGAGCTCCAAGAGACGCGCCGCATGGACTGCACCGTTTGGATTGCACCATATAGACTACATCACACTTGCCCCTCCTCTCCACATCTTTGCAGTTTCCCAGGATGCGCCACGTATCAATCGACCCATTTGAGGTGTGAGCCGGATGGTCATGCATCAAGCGTTAGCGAGCAGTGAGACAATTTGGCTTCGTATCGCCCGATGCGTGTCTTCCCTTCCTCTGATTAGTGGGTGTTGGACTTTTCCGGGGCACCAGGACCCCACAGGGAGCGTTGCCTGATGACCCAGGGGGGTCGTGCCCTCTTCCTCCGGTTGCCCCCTGGGTCTGGGACGAGACGCCAGGCCAGGGGGATGCGAAGGCCGCACGCGCGCCCCGCTGCGCGAGAGGAATCCGCCCCCGATCGCGACATGCGCCCGGAGGGTACGCTGGGGCGAGGCGGGTCGTCAGTTGGAATTGGTGGGCTCGTCTTCCACCACAACCATAAGTTGGAGGGGGGAAGGAGGTCGAGGAAGAAGAGGGAGAAGAGGAGGAGGACCCCATCCCCCTCCTACTTATGGTGGTAGCGGTGGAAAACAAGCCCACCATGAATACAGATTCTCAAGCGCACATATGCTTTTGGAAATCAGTAACCTGCACCTCTCCTGCCTTGCAGGGGCCTCAAGATGTTTCACGATGGCCTCCAGACGACCCGAAGTCCTAGGATCGCCCGCGATGATCCCATGAGGGGCTGAGTACTGTGCCCCCACGACTCCCGTTTCAGAGCGCCCGGAAAGCGCCCCGATGTCCCTGGAGGCCAACCCATTTGCTTCCCGTGCGTTTCTGTCCGATTTCAGCGTTCTCCACGTTCCTAGCTGCAGGTCGTCCAAGACAGTCCACGATGCACCGAGGCAGCCCAAGATGCCACCAAGACAGCTCCGGAGGCTTCCACTATGGGATCCAGAGACACTCCATGGATGCGTCCAAGAGACCCCGCGACGACCACACTCAGCCAAGTTATTTCCCTCTCTCTCTTATCTCTGGGGGTCTTCAGAGGTCCCAATGGTTGCAAACTGGCGACAGGTTCTGGGGCCCCCCGGGACAGCTGCCCCAACCCCCCGTGGCCGCACTGGGGCCCATGCGAGTCTCTCCGGGTGGTCGTCCAGGCACTCAAAGTGTTTTAAGAGAGAAGGATCTCCATGGCCCCAAACGAGGTTCAAGACGGTCCGAAAAGGGTCCCGACGTTGCCCAAGAGCGCCCAAAGCCAGCCTTGGGTGCCTCGAAGATTGCCCAAGAGGCTCCGTGGGGTCCGTGGGGCGCAGGAGTACAGTTGGGCGGCTATTGTTGGAGATTGCACGTTGGACGGCGACTGCATGCAGAGCCCGAACTACCCACAGAAGTATGATGCAAACCAGGCGTGCACCTTGCATATCGATCTGCGGACGGCCGTACCCATCGCGGTGGAGAGTTTCACCACTGAGAGTGGTTATGACAAGCTTACCGTCAACGGAGTGGTCTATTCTGGGTTTTCTGGCCCCAGTGGCATAACGCCCTCGGCGAGTATTTCTTGGACCTCCGACCACAGTCTGCATCAAACCGGGTGGAGGCTTTGCATGCCGGGGGCCAGCTCCGAGTGGTTCCCGCCAACACCTGTTCCGCTGGCCCTGCGACCGCCGCCGCCAACGCCAGCGCCGTCGCCCAATGCTGCTTCACACCTAGGAAAAATAACATTGTATGGAGCTGCGCCAGGTGACATCTTCCATATACCTATACGGAAAATCCGGCCCGGAGGGCCCCCAGGCCGCAGCGCACCTGGGGCACCCAGTAGTCAAGTGGCGTCTCCCGCTCCCGGGGCTTCCCAGAGCGTCCCCGGGCTGCCCTGGGAGACCCCCCGAGCTCCAAGCTAGCTTGGCGAAAGACCCAACCACATGCAGTTTTGAAGACCGCAGTTTTGGGGCAACAAAGCGTGTGAGGTGTGTTGGTGGCGGCGGCATGCGAGGGTCTGCCACTGGGGCATTCGGAAGAGCTCATTACGGTAGAGGGGAGCAGTTACTGAACACTCCCCCTCCCCTCAAACTCAACGTTGGCACGCGCGGGGGAGGCCTGCGGTCGAAGTGCATCTCCACCGCCAACTTTGAACATTGGGGGGAGGGGGAGGCGTTGACAGATGAATGTGGCATGAGTGCTCGCTAATTAGTTCCGGGGCCTGTGGGTATGTTGCCGGGCACGTGGCTACAGTCAAACTGATAGGGGTGCAGAAATACAGGGAGAGGTACACGGGAAAATGTTCGAGGGGAGGACTGCGGAGGAGTCGTCTCAATCATTGCGAAAATCAAACCGTCAACCGTGGACTTACCCCGGACTGAGTCAGACAGGGGCAAGTCGAACTTGACTCTTTGCTTTTCGACTTTCCCGACGAACCACGGCGGCGGCCGACTGACAACGACGACGACGTCCGGGCGCCAAACAAGAAACGGCCAAAGCGGCTGCATGTTGCCATGTCTAGCGCCTGCCCAACGGCCCCGGGGCCCCCCGGAGGCGCTTCGCGCATCCCATCTTAATGTTTCACGTATTACTCGTATCACTCGTTCCAGGCACCCCATATGTTTCGCATATTATTCGTATTACTCGTAAGAAAAAGAATATGCTCAAGAATATCATTGTCTTTTTACGAGTGATACGAGTAAGATGTCAAGAATAAAGAGGGATGGGACGAGTGATCCGAGTCATACGTGGCGAATGAGGCGCGGGGCGACTCGGGCGCCAAACATCAAAATGGGGAGCATATACACGCAGATGTACATATATATATATATATATGTGTCTATCTATGTATACATATGTGTATAGATATATCAAAATGGTCTCGCCGAAATCCTTGCCCGCAGAATCGCTCGGCCAACTCGCCATTGACGGGGCAAACTCAAAAATGTGACGGTAGAAGGAATCAATTATTGAACACTCCCCCTCCCCTCAAACTCAATGTTGGCACGCGCGGGGGAGACTGCGGTCGAAGTGCATCTCATTAGACCCACCGCCATTTTTGAACATTGGGGGGAGGGGGAGGCGTTGACAGATGAATGTGGCATGAGTGTTCGCTAATTAGTACCGAGGCCTGTGGGTACGTTGCCCAGCACGTGGCTACACTCATACAGATAGGGGTGCAGAAGTACAGGGAGAGGTACACGGGAAAATGTTCGAGGGGAGGATTGCGGAGGAGTGGTCTCAGTCACTGCGAAAATCAAACCGTCAACCGTGGACTTACCCCGGACTGAGTCAGACAGGGGCAAGTCGAACATGACACTTTGCTTTTCGACTTTCCCGACGAACCACGGCGGCGGCCGACTGACAACGACGACGACGTCCGGGCGCCAAACAAGAAACGGCCAAAGCGGCTGCATGTTGCCATGTCTAGCGCCTGCCCACCGGCCCCGGGGCCCCCCGGAGGCGCTTCGCGCACCCCACTTTATTTTTCATTCATTATTCGTATCACTCGTGCCAGCACTCCTTAATTCTTCACATATTATCCGTGTCACCCGTAAGAAAAAAGCTCAAGAATATCATTTTCTTTTAACGAGTAGTACGAGTAATATGTGGGATATACAGAGTAATGTGACGAGTGATACGAGTCATACGTGGCGAATGAGGCGCGGGATGGCTCGGGCGCCAAAGCATTAAAAAAGGGGAATCTACTATACATACATATTACATATATATATATATATATATATATCAGAATGGTCTCGCAGAAATCCTTACCCGCAGAATCGCTCGGCCAACTCGCCACTGACGGGGCGAACTGGCACATGTGATGGTTGAGGGGAGCAATTGCTGAACACTCCCCCTCCCCCCCAAACTCAACGTTGGCACGCGCGGGGGAGACCGCGGTCGAAGTGCATCTCATTAGACCCACCGCCAACTTTGAACATTGGGGGGAGGGGGAGGCGTTGACAGATGAATGTGGCATGAGTGTTCGCTAATTAGTTCCGAGGCCTGTGGGTATGTTGCCCGGCACGCGGCTACACTCATATCGATTAGGGCGCAGGAGTACAGGGAGAAGTACACAGGAAAATGTTCGAGGGGAGGACTGCGGAGGAATCGTCTCAATCACTGCGAAAATCAAACCGTCAACCGTGGACTTACCCCGGACTGAGTCAGACAGGGACAAGTCGAACTTGACATTTTGCTTTTCGACTTTCCCGACGAACCACGGCGGCGGCCGACTGACAACGACGACGACGTCCGGGCGCCAAGCAAGAAACGGCCAAAGCGGCTGCATGTTGCCATGTCTAGCGCCTGCCCAACGGCCCCGGGGCCCCCCGGAGGCGCTTCGCGCATCCCATCTTGTTTTTGTGTCACGTATTGCTCGTATCACTCGTCCCAGCACTCCTTAATTTTTCATATATTATTCGTGTCACTCGTAAGAAAAAAAACAAAGCTCAATAATATCATTTTCTTTTCCCGGAAACGGCGCAGGCCCAAGGTTCTGTTTTAGTTTGGTAAACCTGTCCCCGGTGCTTCAACCGAGGTGCGCCGGCGGATTTTGTTGATAAATATCGAGGTCGAGGTGCGCCCGCGGATTACAATTTGAGGACTTCTCGATAGATTTTTTTTAATAATAAAAAAAGTGTTGAGGATGTCTCGACCGAAACACTGGTTTTGCAAAATTGGGGGATGTCTCGAGCGGGGGCCTCGTGGGGGGCCAGAATTTAGAGGATGTCTCACGCGAAATGCTTGTTGCCACGTCCCGCTCGCAGGAACTCCGAGGATGTCTCGCGCGTGCCGCGTCCCGCGCGCAGGAATTTTGAGGACGTCTTGACTAATTCATTCGTTTTGCCATGATTTCCTTGAATTCTGGCAGGATGTCTCGAGCGAAATGCTCGTTTTGAGAATTTGTTGAGGATGTCTCGAGCGAAACACTGGTTTTGCAGAGCCGACCGCGACGCGGAAAAACGCCCCGCGCGCAGGAATTCCCAGCACGACCACACCCCAACACGACCACACCCCAGCACGACCACACCACAGCACGACCACACCCCAGCACGACCCGATCGATAAATCACAGGGCGCGGACCACCCCAGCACGACCACACCCCAGCACGACCCCACCCCGACACGACCCCACCCCAGCACGACCACGCCCCAGCACGACCACACCCCAGCACGACCACACCCCAGCACGACCACACCCCAGCACGACCCCACCCCAGCACGACCCCACCCCAGCACGACCACGCCCCAGCACGACCACACTCCAGCACGACCACACCCCAGCGCGGCCCCACCCCAGCACGCCCCAGCACGACCCCCCACACCCACACACGCCCCAGCACGACCCCACCCCAGCACGACCACACCCCAGCACGACCACACCCCAGCACGACCACACCCCAGCACGACCTCACCACAGCACGACCACACCCCAACACGACCACGCCCAAGCACGACCACGCCCCAGGACGACCACGCCCCAACATGACCACCCCCCAGCACGACCACCCCCCCAGCACGACCACACCCCAGCACGATCACCCCCCAGCGCGACCACACCCCAGCACGACCACTCCCCAGCACGACCACGCCCCAGCACGACCGCACCCCAGCACGACCACACCCAGTCGCACCCCCGTGGGATGTTTCGTGGAGTGTCTGGTTGAGTGGTTTCCTGTTCGCGGGGTGTCTCGTGGAATGTTTCGTGAGGTGTCTCGCGGAATGTTTCGTGAGGTGTCTCGCGGAATGTTTCGTGAGGTGTCTCGTGGGATGTTTCGCGGGGTGTCTCGTGGGATGTTTCGTGAGGTGTCGCCCAGTTGGGTATCGTGAAAACGTGACCATGTTGCACATGTCTTTATCTCTTTCCGGGTTCGTGGGCCCATCGTGTTCACGAGTGATACGAGTAATACGTACAACCATAAAGAGTGTTGGGACGAGTGATGCGCGTGATACGTGGGACGAGAATGAGGCGCGGGACGACCCGGGCGCCAAAACACTAAAAAGGGGAACGTGTACATACATATGTATACATATGTATATATAGACATGTATATATATATATATATACCATAATGGTCTCGCAGAAATCCTTACCCGCAGAATCGCTCGGCCAAGTCGCCATTGACGGGGCAAACAGAAAAATGTGACGGTAGAGGGAAACAAGTACTGGCGCCAAAACACTAAAAAGGGGAACGTGTACATACATATGTATACATATGTATATATAGACATGTATATATATATATATATACCATAATGGTCTCGCAGAAATCCTTACCCGCAGAATCGCTCGGCCAAGTCGCCATTGACGGGGCAAACAGAAAAATGTGACGGTAGAGGGAAACAAGTACTGAACACCCCCCTTCCCCCCAAATTCAACGTTGGCACGCGCGGGGTAGAATGCAGTCGAAGTGCATCTCATTAGACCCACCGCCAATTTTGAACATTGGGGGGAGGGGGAAGCGTTGACAGATGAATGTGGCGTGAGTGTTTGTTAATTTGTTCCGAGCCCTGTATGGGGCCCAAAAAAATGTAAGGGGTGTTCCTGAGTGAGGTGGCGGCGGTATGCGAGGTCTGCCATTGGGGCCTCTGGTAGAGCTCCTCATGGGGCCACGAAGCGTGTGAATGGTGTGCCAAAGTGGGGTGGCGGCGGCATGCGAGGTCTGCCACTGGTGCCTTCGGTGGGGCTCCC